TAAAGGGAAACTGAATAATGCACTTATTGGACCATTTTAACTGAAAGGAAACGCTCATCACTGCTTTAAACTGACCTACTAACAAGAATAATTATTGGTCAATTACATCAATAATAAACAATTTAATTGCATGAATCCTACTGATTTTCTGCTGAGTTATTATGATTCTGATAAGACTCAAGCTGAACATATTCAGAAACAGGATTAATATTTCGGTCATTCTTGACCTTGGAAACAGCAGTTGACAAAACAATCAAGGCCCACTTTCTTACTTGTTCTAATACAACAAATTATTGGTTTAATACTTTAATAATTTAATACAATTACATAATACTGAAGCCCTACTCCCATAGGAGAACTGAGCTTTATATAACACAGACTGAGCCCCGAGTTCCTCCTGTGCATGGTGCTGACAATGTGTTTCTGTGTAGACGCATTGACAGCTTTAATAAACAACCATTCACAGCTGCTGTGTGAGCTGCCTTTTTGCTCTAGCTACAGAAAGGGATATTCTTTAGTCCTCCACATTAGCATGTACTCCCCACATCTCCCCAACCTTAACTTACCATACAGTTTTTTTTACAGAATGTAATGCTGAATTCTTGCCCCCGACCAATCTTCCACCCCTCCCCTCCCCTCCCCTTCCTCCCAGTGCCCTCCGCCAGTATGACCCGCCTGGCTCGCTCCAGGACAGCCTCCCTGACCAGCGCCGGCTCCATGGACGGGTCCCGCTCTCGGGCCTGCACCCATTCTGACAGCACCGAGGGAGTCGGCACAGTCACCCACACCATGGAGGTGTCCTGCTAAGGAGTCAGCAAGCCATAGAAAGAGGGAGGGGGGTCGAGAGATGGAAAGAGAGAGAGACAGGAAGGGATGACGGTAAAGAGGAGATGATAGGGATCGGGGGTGGGGGTGGGGTGGTAGATCGAAACAGCAACAGGAAGGAAAGTTCATGAACAAGGTGGAGACAGCTCTCTCGGTCTTCATCTATCCCCCAAAATCCCTTTGTCTGCCATCTTGTTCCCTCCTCCACTGTAAACTACCATACGTATTGCTACTAAAACCCCCAACCGCACCTGTCACACAGCACTTAAAGATTTAGGCAACTGTTTTTGTTCTCTATAGTAAGTGGCATTCTTGTGTTTGCTAAGTGTCTCATCAATCTTTGCCTGCACCCCTTTTAACCCCCACTCCCCCACCTCCCAACCCCAACACAACAAAAAAGTAACCCTGTCTGTCAACACTACACACAGCAATATGTGATAATCAGCTGCTGTTAATGATGTGATATTAAAATCTGTCAGAGACGGTGAAGGTACAGGATATGGCCAGGAAAACTTGTAAGGGGTACCATAATGAAAATGTGTTACGCATCCTCATTTTGCAAGAAGTTGATTCTTTGTTGTTTAAGAAAAGTGTGAGTGCTGGCATCTCTCTCTGTGTTTGTAAGGGATGGTTTTTCTTCTCCATGAATGACAGGTGAGCAAAAGAGGGGGTGGCTCCAGAATTTGACAGATAGCTGAATACAGCCAAGTTCACCTGCAGTGCTTAGAGAGGATTTGTACACTTTCTTAGTCTAAGAGCATAGATAGAGAGTACACCGCACTGATTTAAAGCTGCACTTGGTTAAACGTGTAAACCTTGTGGTCAAACTTGTAAACTACACTTAAAATGCAAAAGAGTGATGTTATTAAGTTTCAGGTGTGCAGGCACTGTGAGAATACTGCCTAGTACTGCTGCCTGCAGTACTGACGCTGAAGTGGGCCTATTGTTTACTGATGGACCTCTATTCTCATAAACACTGTTCCAGTATTAAAAATTGAGTCTGAGTTGAGTCTGTCTGTTCAGGATAGTCACAGATATTTACAGTAGTGTCTGAAACACATTCAGAGGTCTGAACTCACTGCACCCTGACAGGAAATTAAACCCAGGCTGTCAGTCGTCCAGTAAGCGTACTGAAACCTGCCCACTACACCACCAGGGAGCTTAGCTGACACAAAAGTTGCAAGTATAAGCAAACTTGTGTTTGAATAATCTTGATTTTGAGCTTGATGACAATCTGTGATTTGTGAGCCACTGGGGTCCACCTATTATTATTATATAGTGTCAAATTTGCATACAATTACTTATCATATAAAAATACAATCTGGTGTACCCACTGTAGCAGCAAGGTTAATATGAACTCATTCATTGAACTTGTATTCCATACTTTAATCACTCACCTATAATCACTTTCTGTGAAATTGTCACTATCTTACAAACTTAAGCATTTAGCTTCTTAAGATGTAAAATGCACCCCTGTGGGCTGAATAGTTTAATGTAGAATGTAAACTGAGGAATAGAGTTTGGTCTCATCCAGGAATAATATTGTATCTGTGCAAAATAGAATGGCAATTGTCATGTGATGAATGGCAATGTGATGAACCTGTTCGCCCTGGTTAGGACTGGTTAGATTCTTAACAATTGAATCAATTGTTCTGTGCCTAGGAAGCGATGACTGTAATTTAAACTGTCTTCTAAATACCACAAAACCAAACCATTGTTATGGAGACAGATAGGCCAGGCTGGTGAACACTGAAGTCACATTCTAAGTTGCCATGATAAGTTAAAATGTTGCCTTATTACTGCCAGTTGGAGCCACATTTGTGCAATGTTGCTGAGTGCAGCTTTAAGCTATGTGTCATCTCACATTTCTAAGACAATCCACACCATGAATATAGTCTAGAATATGTGTTTATTAACATTTATATGCATGTAAATGTAAAAGTAATCTTAGGGCATTCTAGTATTTGAGTATCTAGTATTAGGGCATTCGTCATTAGCACCTTACATGGGGCTAGTTCAGTAGAGCCATGGATGCAACCGCCATCATCAGTCTGTAACTCCAGTGCATGAACGTGGTTCTGGCAGTAGTCGGCTCTTTGTGGTCTCTAACATGACAATCACACTCTGACCCAAACCAAACCAGACCAGGGGGGCCGAGGCAAGACCAGGCCGACCCGACAAGTTCTCTTCCCGGGTCACCGCCAAAGAACTCTCAGCAGCCTTCCCTTACAGCGCCCAGCCCGTTCTGCGGATGTACCAAAGCTACACACACACACACACACAAACAATATCCACAACCAGACACATTTCCCATGCACACCACACACACAAATAAACACTGCATGGACTGTGCTAAGGGAATGAGGCCAAAGAAAAGACACACAAAATTCACACACAAGAAGAAATTCATTGCTATGTAGTTTTCATGTGCTGTGTAGACATAATCTCACTGGTATAGTACATGTATATAAGTATAGTTTTAGACTAGTGAAGCTGTGTGCGGTTATCTGCAATAATACTGGACCACCTTGTCAATAGTGATCAGAGATGGGTTCCCCTGGTTTTTGGCTTAGTAATGTACAGTATTCATGTACCACAGTCACCTTCACCAGTTTCTAGTTTTACAAAAAACCCTTTGGTCCCCTGTCAGAAAGGGGCGTAGCTTCCAATTGCTGAGGTGTGCGCTTTCCTGAGGTGACCTGTAAGGGGCGGGGCTTTTTTGGAGCCATTTGGGCGCCAAGCTCAGAATGTAAGGCAACCCCCGGCCACCTTAAAAAATAACCTCTTCCCCCTAAAAAATTACAAGGTGCCCCGGCTCTCACAGGCAAACCCAGTCGCACCCTAAAGGGCTATCAGCTGAAGTCACTTTTTAAAATGTTGGTAGTGTTAGTTGTGTTTCTGAGCACCAGGGGTCCCTAGAGAGCAGCAGTTTGATGGAGGATAAGCTTCTTGAGAAGAAGGGAAGGGATTGTTAACAAAACACAGAGAGAGATTCTGACCTGAAAAAAGAATGGGATTTTGTTCAAAGCTGAAGAGATTATTGTTTAAATTTGAAATACCTTATAAATGTGATAGTTTGAAAACAAATCTGACATGTGGAGTGGAGAGATCATGAGAAGAAATCGGGCAGTCAGATCAAACACGTCACTCCTCGCAGAACCTCATGGATTTCATACACCCTGAAGTTTGCATGTAGCGGAGTTCGTATACGATCATCTTCCAGTGTTTTCTCTCTTCGCTAAGCTATTTTCTGCCATCTGCACTTCCTCCTCCTCGACTTTTACCCAAACTGCCTGGGGGGCTCCTGAATGTATTTTGTCCCTTTTTGAAGTGCTGTACAGTATTGTCAACCTACGCCTCTCAGAACCCTTGACTATGGTTTGCACTTCTATCCCTGCCCCACCCATCCCTGACATTTAACCCTGTACATGAAAACCTAGCTCCTTCCCGCTCCTCCTCAAGGTCTATAAATAGTGAAGTTCAGTAGCGATTTGTTAATGTCGACAGTAAGATGGCACTGGATCCGTTTGTATAGACCTTTGTCGTCCTTGCACTTGTAGATACTTTTTATTTTCAGAGCAGGTTACCCAAACCCAACACTACTGTATTGTGAAGAAAATTTCAACATATTTCTGTTCCTCTTTCCTTGGAGTTTCTCTTTTTTATAGAAAACAATAGGCTGTAACCTCATCTTAGTATAATGATATTGGTTAATGTGTACTACTACTACTATTCTTCTTCTTACTGCCATTATGATTGATTTGTATTAAGCAATAAGTTGTCTTTTTTCTTGTTTGGATTGTTTTGTATTGTGGAAGTCTTCCCTATGAGCTTGTTTCTATCCACAACAGTAGAAGGACTCTTACCTGCTTCTTTGCCATTCAGATGTGTATTGTAAAGTTTAAATATATTAAATATAAATACATAAAGAAAGTAAGCTGTCTCTGTCCATGTACTGATCGAGTAACAAGTAAAGAAATAAAGACTTCATGTCAGAATTGGAGGAGTGAAGCGTTGGTTCATTTTCTGTTTTAAACATACGGTAAGCATCTCACCTCAGCTTGCACAGCTCTCACCACTGTTCATTGTTCACTAGGCATGTCTTTGACCATTATTTTTCCCCAATCTGATATTAGTTTAATTCTGTCTTTGCTTTCAACATAATACAACTCCAGGAAGTTTTGGACAAGATTTATCCAGCATGAAAACAAAATTAAAGTTTACATACAATCAGTTAAGAATTCATATTTCAGTTGCTGCGTTCACTAAATAATCCAACACAAATTGCCCATTTTTTTAAATCCAGTGTTAAGCTAATGTGAATGAAACTCAGGCACAAGTTTTTTATCTAAAATAATCCCAGCAACTCAGAGGAAATAAAACCCTTTCTGAAACAGCTTTTAAAGAAAAATATCTCCATGAAGTGTTGAGTTTTATTATTTGTAGCCTAAAACAGATTGAAACAACAGCAAAGTAGAAGTGATTCAATTTAGAGCATGAAAACAGTAGAAGGGAAAGAAGATAAACTAAGAGCGGCAGAGTACTGAGTATGACATGACTTGTACTAATGCAATTAGTAGATTGCAAATATCACATTATGCTGAACTTTCAATGTAAATTTACAATGTATACCATGTATAGGTAACTGACCTTTATTTGATCTACACCGGTAATGTGAACCACCTTAGTGGTACTGAAAACCCAGGGTTAACCCCGAAGTTACTTGGATAAGATCAAATCCTGCTTTGTGGTACAGGCACCAGGAATTCTTATTTACATACAATGTCAGCATTATACATTTACCAAAACAAGACCTTATAGGAGACCATGAAGGAGTCACAGTAGGCATGTAGCATCTGGTCCACAGGGCTGTAGTTCAGGGAATAAATGTTGGGAGTCATCTTGTTGATGAAAACTCCAACGTTGAACCTTTCTACCCCCGTCGTGGTGTCAAATGCATAGAAGATCTCCTCCATGGTTTTGTTGACATACCGTGTTGCATAGAGCACGCCACAGGCCATGAAGGTGTTGGTCACCCCCTGCTTGTAGACCGAGGTGTGCCAGGTCTGGCCAAGAGTCATTGGTTCATCCTCCTCCACCTTGGACAGCACCAGGTTGCCAAAGTCCTGGCTGGTGGTATAGATCACCCAAACACCTGACTCATCTGTTGCCAGGTCCAGGTCGGTAAACGGGTAGCATTCCTCAAGGTGGCAGAAGTTACCCTTTGAGTTAAACCTGAAAACAAAACAGACGACAGAAGTGATGTTTCCTTTTTAGAAATGAGAACTTGGAAAACAATGTATCAGCATCTTAGTTTCATGGACTCATTACGTAATTCTGTCTTTTACCAATTTCACAATTTTACACATCTGTAATCTTTTACACAGGTTCATTAATACATTACATTTTTTATGTTCTTATTTTGTTGTTCTTATAAAACTACAGAATTCAGCATTTACATACAAATGTGAAAGATTTCATGACTATTTTCTGTAGAAACGAGGCAATAATTCTGACATCAGCAACATCTTTCAAATAATAATCTTAAAGACTGATTTGATCAGCGAACCTGGTGCCTTTGGGTAGTTGTAAAGTGGTGATAGTTTTGGTGTTGAGGTTGAATCGACAAACAGCATCTAGGTTGTAACAGTTGTAGTACAAGGCCTCTCCATACAGCACAACATTCGGACCCTGGATAGTGTTGGTGGCTGGGTTAGAGGAGTGGATCTGGACATTACCTGGAAGACGAACAAGAAGAAGCATGAGAAGGAGGCGCAAACATCATCATCGGTTAAGTATTTCTGTCACACTCTGCCTGTCAGCCTTGCCATGTTTTGCACTTTTGAGTTTGGTCAGTTTATTATCTGTTATGTTGGTCTGTTGGGTATTGGGGTTCTGTCTTGTCTGTCGTCTAGTGTTCAGTAACCTGTGTCATGTCTGTTACCCCAGTGATCCCTCTGCATGTCAGTCTCTGTTTTCCCCCGCTCTCTCTCTGCCTGCCTGTGTCTCGTTAGTCCCATTAGTATCACCTGTGTACCTCCTCCCAGCTTGTTAACGTATGTGTGTGTGTGTGTGTGTGTGTGTGTGTGTATCCTTGCTTGTTTCCCCTCAGTCTTTGTCCGGTCATTGTTGCGTGTATACGCTCTGTCTCATGTTGTCGTGTTGACAGCCTTACTTGTCGTGTTTCCCTGCTTTCTTTGGATTTAGGATTTCACTTTGGATAACTTTGTTTTTGGACTCTGTTAGCAGCCACTCAACCAGTAAGTGTGCTCACTTTTTGTTTGTTAATAAACCTTTTGAACTTTACCAGTCAGCCTACGTGTCCTGCATTTGGGTCCGCCAACCTGCCTCACCACAGAAACCAGTAACAATTTCATTTGTTAATATTAAAGAAAACAATTAATAGTCTACTCAACTAGTTTACCTTTCTACAGCATATGTTTCTGGGTTAAAGACCATTTGATGTCCAGGTTCAGTGTATTTTCTGAACTTTAAAGCACCCAACAGTTAACATCCTTTTCCCCCGTAAACAATCAGTAACACTTGTCAAGTTGTGCAGTTGTGATTTCTGTATTTGTAGGAAATGTCTGGAGCCAAACTACAGCTGGTTGAGCGAGACGTCTGGAGGTTAGGGTCTGGTCACATCTGACTTGATCTGATTTTGCTCAGGTAAAATATCAAGCAACTCATTATGATTACAAAGGAGAACAGGAAGCCCACACTGTTTCTGTTGGTTGACGATGTGAATTTGCAAAATTTATCAAACAAAGTGGCAGAGAAGTAAAGCATCTTGTGGGGTTTTGGGGACATACCATGTAGAGGTTGAGTGGGTTGGGTGGTGGGGAGAGGTCCGCACAGCAGGAGCAGACATCCAGTGTGTGAGCTTAAATGCTCCGTACTTGTATAGCGCCTTTCTAGTCTTTTCGACCACTCAAAGCGCTTTTACACTACATCTGCATTCACCAGTCACACACATTCATACACTGAGCCTAAGTGCTCAAACGGAAATTAACAGTCACACACATTCATACACTGAGCCTAAGTGCTCAAACGGAAATTAACAGTCACACACATTCATACACTGGCGGAACAGCTGCCAGGGGCAAATTGGGGTTCAGTATCTTGCCCAAGGACACTTCGACACGCAATCAGGGGGAGCCAGGGACTGAACCGCCAAACTTCCGATTAACGGGCAAATATATGCATTCACTATATAATTTACTGTATGTACAGTATGCCCTTGAATCAGTGCTGTAAGTTGGCCAGTACTCACCGGTCCTCAGTACTAGCACTTCTACATTTTACTCTTTGGTGAACCATGAGATCTTCTTCCACACTAGCACTTCTCACAAACTGCCGGTACTCTTTTCTGCCCTCTTAATATCAGGTTCTCTGGGCAATTCATATGGCCCTAAATAAACTGCATTACACAGGAGGCACTTTACGCTTGTTTTTTTCCAACTTTTGCAACCAGAGAAAAGCAACTGCGGTTGCCAGACTCTGCGACTGCAGCCGCCTTGCTCCATGAGGTTTTAATGTCATGTGACATGGTCACTGATGGCCAAATACTTTTTTTAGATTCACATAGAGTTTATAATCTAGGCAATACGGTTACGTCGCTGATCTGCGACGGGATGTCATAGGGTTTCACGTCATTTTTGGGCCTATGGAACCCTCCATGCAGCCTGTGGTCGGCTTCACTGTTCCAACTGAACTTACCCTTTGTCACCATGTCACATGACTGACTTAAAATCACCATCACATGACATTAAAATCTCTTGGTAGAAAGACATTGCTTTTCTCCAGCTGCACAAAGTTGGAACCACACTTTTGCCTGGTCTCGGATCAGTCATTGATCTCATCTCACACTCTGCCTGTCTGCCATGCCGTGTTTTGCACTTTTGTTTTTGGTTAGCGTTATTTTGGTCTGTTGGGTTTTGGGGGTCTGTCTTGTCTGTCGTCTAGTGTTCAGTAACCCTTGTCATGTCTGTTACCCCAGTGATCCCTCTGCATGTCTGTCTCTGTTTTCCTCTGCTCTCTCTCTCTCTCTCTCTCTCTCCCTGCCTGTGCCTCGTTAGCCTCATGTCTTTCACCTGTGTTGCTCCCGCCCTGCTCTTTAGTCCCTGTGTGTGTATACCTGGTGTTTCTGTCTTTGTTGGGTCATTTTTTATTGTCACCCAGTGTTGCAGTTTGTTCTCGTGTCTTCAACCTTACTCGCCGTGTCTCCCTGTTACCCTGCTCATTTTTGGATTCTGGTTTTCACCCTTTTGGATTTCTGTTGGACAGCCTTTGTTTTTGGACTCAATCAGCCACTCTGTTTGTAATTGTGCTCGCTTTTTGTTGTATTAAAACCCTTCTCTGAACTGTTCCTGCTGGCTTTCGTGTCCTGCATTTGGGTCCTCCAATCTACTACCTGCTTCACCACACACAAATCCGTGACAAAAGGTACATTTAGTTTTGTGTGAAAAACGTTCTTTGAACAACATCTCGCACAATATACGTGGTTGCTGCTAGCTAGATGACTCAGCTTTGTTCCATGCAGAAAATTATCTCACCTGATGTGTTTAATCGACCGACACTCAGTCCTTTTATCACATCATCCTCTCATGTAAGTTCTTTGATGTTAGCTTCAGTAACGTTAGCCTCAGTCATTAATAGAAAAAAATTCGACGTGTTACGAAAAGTGCTATATAAATAAATAAATGATTGAAATATTAGAAACTATATCTGTGGTTCTGCTGCACATATTTCTACATAAAAATCATTTTATCATGAGTCAGATGTTATAATGGTGAAATGCTGACGAAGTGCATTGCAAAAATGTAATAGGTGAAGATTTCCAATAACAATGTACAGGAAGAAATGACTTTGAATGGGACCGTGCAGAAGAAATTGTAGTGCTCCTTTTTTATTATAGGAGATATTTTCATGTATAATTCTTTCTGTAGATATCATAAATTAATCTACATTTTGGGAAGACTTACACACAGCCGCTGCTTTTGTGAGTGGTCAGTTGGTGCTTTGTGAGTCTACCTGTTCAGTGGTGTCAGCAGTCAGACCCTGGTGTGCCTTGGTGGTGCTGTTGAGCCTGTCAATGAGCTGCTTGATCTCCATCAGTTCATTCTCTATCACATACAGGCTGAGAACTGCGTAGAGGTCTCCGTCATCCTCCCTCTCCAGCATCGACACATCTTCCTGCAGCTGGGGCAGACGTCGCTCCAAACCCAGCAGCAGACTCTCCAGCTCCAGAGTCTGCAGAGAGAGCAGGTAGACTCTGTGTTCACACATACAGGAGTCTGTTTTACAGCTGTTGAGTTTGTGTTCTTTACAGTCTGGTTTAGAAAATAACATTAACTAGTTACCTTCTGTGGGGTGATGTTGCTGTTGCATTTTGATGCATTGTCCTCCACTGTGCTGAGTTTGTCATGAGGGAATGCCTTCTCTGAATTAGTCAACTCACACGTACACTTATCTTGTGAAAATACCTGAAGTCAAGAATATCAAACATCATGTAGAAAATAATATAAAAACCTTATTTGAATAATAAAAAAATGAATAATTATTGCTATATTTTAAGGGTTTTCATAGCTGTTGGATGATGGTGAACAGAGCACACAGTAAAAGGATCACATACAGCTTCATGGTCAATCAGAGAGCAGCACTAAATGAAACAGTCCCTGAACTCAGTTTGAATATGACTGTCTGTCCAGCCTTTGAACACTCCCACTAACCTCTGCATGTGAGTGAGTTTTATGTCCCCTCTAGAAGTGGGTTAGGGTTTAGATAGGTCCCATATTCCCCAAATCCAAAGAAAAATAACTTGTTGATATCAGAGGCCAGAGGAGAATGGGCAGACTGGTTCGAGATGACGGAACCACTCGGATGAGTATCACTACTCAATACCTTTATGGTATCAACCGAAACAGCCCAGTATTGAGTAGAATCGAAACGTCTCCAATCAAACCTGTACTTAATTCGATACTTTTTGTAACCAGATTGCGGCAAAAAAAACTACTATTCGTATAGTTTTGCTTGCATCCAAACACACAAGCAACACACTGAAAGTCCAAGTTCACCTTTGCAGTCTCAGGCATGTTCGTCACCATTACAAGTTTATCACCACAAGCTTGGCAGTGAATATGGCCTAAACATAGACATTCACCTGGTATAATTTTGAAAATTTGTGTTATAACTGTTGTATATTAGTTTCTTTTCATCAGATTTACAGTTACAGTTGTATTCCAGGTGTATTAGAAGATATTCAGTTGCATTATAAGCTACAGGATGATGGTTTTGATGGGGATATTGCTATTAAAATATAGATTTTATACCAAGGGAGGATGAAAATATAATTTTTTCCTTTATTGCATCTCCATTTAATCTTTAATATAAAAAATGATGCATGTACAGTTGATTCATATTCCTTAGCTTCTAACATGCATCTAAGCCTAATGGTTCTATTACTGATTCATTTTGGGCATGTTATTTTAGGCTTTTTTCCTGGAAGTACTTGTCTCTTTCCAAGAGGTTTACATGGCAAAAATGAAAGTTGTGCATCGATTTCATCTCTCCTGTTGTGATTTACACAACATCAGGCAGATGAACTGATGCAGCAGAACAAATTCCTTGGTACTATGATCGATAAACTGCGCTTTGAGGCCCAGGCTGATGCTGTGTGCAAAAAAGCACATCAGCGCATGCACTTTTGTCAACCCCGTTTTTATGAAAATGTTTCACTCATTGTTACGACCCTGGCTCGAGGGAGGCAACATAGAGGAGTCACAAACGTCTATTATGATCAAAACAAGGTTT